AACGCACAAATAAGGTTGTTGCCATTCCAAAACATTTTCCTCATTACTGAAATTGAAGGATTTCAAAACGTTCATGTGGCAAGAGGAGCACCAACAGGCTTTTGACAAAGTTAAGGAGTGTTTGACAAATCCACATGTTTTGATGCCGCCTAAACAAGAGAAACCCTTTGTTGGAACCAAATTCACGCACAATCATGACTGATGGTAGAGCACAAACTCGAGCAACCTACAAAACAATAAACAATCGTGAGCAAGCCTAAGACCAGGGGGTGTGCCGGCCAAAGACTCTCCGATGGTCAAGTTAGTGGATGATTTTAGCCTCAAGCAGTGGGCACGAGAATTCAAGTATTTAGATTGCGTTACCATATATGAACCCTAGATTGGTGTATTTATACCATGGGGAGAGAGATTTTTTTTAAGATAGAATTCTCATTCTAAGCCAGGAGAAACCTAGAGGATATCTAGAAGTAGATATTGCATCCTCTTAAGAGTTATGATTACTTGCAGGGCACGCCAATTCCTAAATTGTAGGAACTCCAAGACTTATAGGATTTGATTGTCCATATCCGAATCAAATTGTGTATCTTACAGAAAAGCATGGTCTTCCAACGAAGTTGCTAGGACTCCACCTAGTGCCCCGAAATAGTGTGATGGTGGCACCACTACTCTATTTGAAACAGCTTCACTCCAATTTGGTGAGTCCATGACCGGACTTCTTAGGTAACTCTATTCAAATCAGCCTTACTCCAGTCTTAGAAAATCATGGTCCCACAATTGCCCCTAGCTATCTATCTGAGAGGCAACCCGTTCCTTTTTAGGATGGATCATTATCCAAATACCATGTCTTTCGGAGTAAACTGAAATACGTGTCGTTTAATCTTTAAATTCTTGTGAGCTGGTTCAGTTCATTAAAGGGAGGTAGTTGAGTCGTTCTCGATTTCAGTCATACATTCATCTAAAATTAACCGTCATGATGATGTACGCTTCCGTTTTGCGCACACTTCTCAAATAAACAACCACGTATCTCATCGATTAGCCTTGATTCTCGCCCGCATTGATCTCTAGGTTAACGACTCTTCATTTTCAATAGTGAGAAATTTTCCTGGCTCGCCTTTAAATAATTCCCTTAGGCCCCTGTTTCCTTCATTTCCTTTCTCATTTGTGTCATAAAGCCTGTTTTCACCTTAAATTGCCTTTCCAATCCTAGTCTTCCTCTTGGTTTTTTGTTGAAGAAAATTCCAATCCCAAAAAAATCATGCTACATCTAGTAATTCCCAACATGTTCTCAAGAATGTTCCTTTGCTTGTTGCAACTCGTTCTATAATATGCCACACTTCTTGCAACTTATTCTATAACATCATCCCATTGTAGCACTCTTCATGCAGGCTTCGGGGAAGGATAGAATATGTGCAAGGTGTTAAGATCCATTAAAGGGTCCTTCATCACCACTTTGTTCCTCAACTGATGCTCATTGACGGTGGCGATGATGGTGAGGGCTCTTTGTTTAAACACTCACTTATGTGGCACTCATGTGGCTTGAGTGTTGGAATCCGTCCTTTTTTTTCATTTCCTCTACTTGTGGATGGCGATGGTGGTAGATCTCCATTAGAATACTCGCCCTTAATGTAGTGTCGTGTTCAGGAATGCAACAAGGTGGGTGTAGCACGCCACTGATTTGACGGTGGTATTCTCTCCAAGTTGACGATTTCAGTTCATCTTGTTGTTTTGTCTTTAAAATTTTCATTTTTGCCAGGGGTGAGGGTTTATCTCCCCCAAACTGATGTACTATTGTGATCTCCGTTGTGACTTTGATAATAAACATGCGTTTGTGTAAAGATTTTCCTGCCTTGTGTATCTTTACCAAGAAGAATTTCTAATCCACTAAATGTTTCCAGAAGTAGACAAATTTAAGGAATAAAATAAGCAAAGGAGCATAATACGAATAAGTTTTTGGGCTAGGGACATAATTTTAAGAAACCCTCCTTGATAACATTGATTTGGAGAAATATTACCTCCCAAACTTTGCATTTATGAAGGATTCTCATCGCAATAGTTGAATACCACCAACTCCAGCATCAGGAATTAAACATTAAACCCATGACGAACCCTTCGCTCCAAATTTTTTTATGCATTTATGAGATCTAAGATGGTTACGCCATGTCTGAAATATCTGGCAAAAGATAAGTTAGCAAAATCTTCCATGCCTTACTCCTGTTCTTGGGCTAAAGGCTTCAATAATTGTGACGTAGTAAGGAAGAGATTTTTCTTCCTAAACTAGATTGTGTGTCCATTTCTAGTAAATCTTAAATAAAAGTTCTTTGGAAACATGGTTGCTCGCATGTAGGTCAGAAACACTTTTTAAATCCTTTGTCAGACCCTACAAGTCGGACCTGAGCGTTTCTGGTCAGGCTATGTTGGTTGGCTTACCCAAAGAATTTATGCGTGTCGAAGCTCCGTTGGAATGAAATTTCTCTTGGGGATTACCTAGTCTAGATGCCCCCCTCGAACCTACTGACATACGATGTCGCAGAACATACTTGGCTTAGTACGCTGATTTGGGATAAAAGTAGTTGTACTTAGGGTCAAGGTTCAGAGCCACCCTCGGATGATTTCCAGATCACCCTTTTGATTATTTCCTTGAATGGTGTAGAGCTCGGGTTTGAATGTTATAACCTACAACCTTGCTAGTTGCATAACTTTTTCAAAAGCCAGATGGTGCATTGCACTTCCAGGTCAAGGCGGCATGTGCCCGTGCCTGCAGTCGGCCAATCGTTACCATGCTTATTAGGTTTAAGTTTCCCAAGCAGCTAACCATTCAAGACAGATTGGGCTAATAGAGATTCCTCTCACAGTTTAACTTTGAACATTTTTAGACTTGCATTCGTGCGAAGTTTTTCAAGTTTGTGCCTGTTTGAACTTTATTGAACATCGAGCAATATTTGAGCAAACCATAAATCTCTAAATGTTATGTCAACGATCCAAACCGTTCATTTTTGCATCCTATTAAAAGATGATATTTTGAAAACATAATTACCGGAAAAACCCTTATGGCGATCATCGATCAAACCGTAGAAGAAAACCACAAATCAATGGTTATTATTAGTCATTGCCCACTCTGCATTATGGGTATAAGTTTTCAAATTCCATCATTCATGAAACTTGTAACCCTCGTCACTATGACCGTTTCTAATATTTTTCTCAATTTTCCTGCTATAAATTAATTAATAATTTTTTTTAATGTTTTGGCCCTTTTAAGAGAAAACATTATTATGGATGTTTCGATCCTTTGATAAAGCCATTTTTCAGTATCAACCAGATCATATCGTACAAGATGTCATCCCGAGTGTTTCCGTGATTTTTTCATATTTTTCACAATCAGCAATTTTTTATTACTAATTTTCAATTACAAAATCATGTTATTACACATTTAAATTCACGTGGCAAACGCGCGAGTAGCCACGTCAAAAATATTAGGCGGCATTACAGTAGAGGGAGATCATGTGTGAGGATGCATGTTAAAAGGTGGGGGCAAATCTAAGCCACCCACATGGTCAATTGGTGGTTGGCAAAGGAAAGGGGTGCCTTTTAGTAGAAGGTAGGGTTTCTTAACAAATAGCCAATGATAGACAGCCATGTGTCCAAACCAGTGGTTTTCAGTTGGCGTTTTTTTTTTTTTCTTTTTATTTATGGTTTAGGGTTTTCCAATCATAACGTTCCACAAGTTGTCATAAAAAACACTAGCGTTAGGAACACACGTGGTGGGAACAATTGCCATGATTGTCACCCATTTGCATGAAGACCTTTCGTGTTCTTCGAGAGGTCACTATAACCCTATATTTATTGGTGGTTTACATTTGTCCCTCTTCACATAACCACATTTGCTCGAACTTCGTTGAAAACCCAACCTGCAAACTGTAAGTTACTCTTTCGCAGTTTTAATGGCTCAAAACTTGCCTGGTTCTGCAACTTCTTCCTGTCCTCGAAGATCATTCTCGATGCCCAAACTTCCTTAGTGGGCAAACCCATTCCCACTTCCTAATCAGGGGAACCTCTAGTTGTCGTCCAAACTGACTACTGTGTATTCACAATGGAAAGGGGTGTCACTAGAGTTGACACCAACATTATCTCCACCATGAATGTCGAGCATATGAAGTGAATGGTGTTGATAAGGAATGTGTTTAGGAAAGCTAAGAGCGTCAAGGTCATACACAAGGAACTCACTGTGTCATTTGGTGAAGGTGCTTAAACACCTTCTTTGTAGACCATTTCGACCAAAAAAGGGAGTACAAATCTGGTACAACTAAAGAGAATTAGGGGAAAAGGGAAGCGCATAAGGAGTGGGGTGAGACTGGCAGCCTCATTTTCTTTCTAGTCCCGTCTAATACCAAGCTTTTAACCGAGATTAATTACGAGGCCTTAGTGAGGCCAGCAGTCGAGCCGAGTTCAGTTTAATGCCATTCAAGTTAATCTTTGGCATACCAAACATGTGACTACTAGTACTAGCTAGTCTAGTCTCACCCTAAGCTGGTGCAACAAACGGGCCCTAAAAGTGTCAAACTAACAACTTGGTTGAGACTTGAGATTTGAGGCGTGGTACTCAAAATCTGGAACCCAAGTCCCATGACCCAAATCCAAACCCGAAACCCGAACACATTACCCAAGATTTTGGAGCTTAATTAAAAAAATATAAGGCTAAGAGATCAAAATTTTAAACTAAATTTGCAAACCAAATGATATATTACTAATAAAAAATAAGCACGTTAATCGACATTTTAATAATGATCTAATTATCTACCACCACATTATTTTGTTTAAAATTTTTGGTATTCTGAACACTATTTTAAAATAAATAAATAAAGAAAATTTGATGAAATAAAAAATTAAAGAAAATGAAGAACGAAAAAAAATACAAAGAATAGAGCATTTTGCTCACCAGCTCGTGTACCTCTCCCCATCATCTCTCCCTCCCTCCCCCAAACCCTAGCTCTGCCTTCCTTTCTCCCTCCTCCCCTGGCTCTCTGCGTCTCTAATCTTTCATCTCTCCCCGATCCTCAGAACCTCCAAAACACCTACACCGCCTAACCCCACCTCAAAAATCTAGGGTTTATTCGAACGCTCCACCACGCCATGGAAGACCACCAGAGGGCTTGACACCCCCCTCTCGCTTCTCTCTCGCTCCTAATCCAAGAGCCAAAATTCACCCGAGGGGGTTCGAAATTAGACCATGTATAGGGAACGTGGCGGTGGAGGCGTTGGCGGGTCATCGAAAACAGAGATTGTTGGTGGGTCGCTGGACCGCAAGCGCATCAACGATGCGCTGGAACGCAGGCGCATCAACGATGCGCTGGACAAGCACCTAGTGAATTCCTCCACTTCCACATCGAGAGCTTTGGCTAACAGTAAAGACAAAGAGAAGCTCTCTGTGCCCTCCACTTCCGCTGGTAAATCTCAACTCGATCACCGTGCTGCTGCCGCCGCGGCCGCCTCGCTCACCGAGAACAAATGCTCTGATGGTTGGTCTTGTTTTTGCTCTCTCGGTGTTTTTCGGATTTTTTTTGTTATAATTTGTTGGTATATGAATAATTGGTAACTCGTTTTCTTGGTTGTTTAGAAGTGAATTTGTTAGATTTTGGTTTGATGGTTTTTGTTTTCGTATTTTATGGGGAGTGGATAGATAGTAATGTGTTTTAGGACTATAAGGTAATTAGCAGCAACTTTCTTATATGAGCTGGGCTTGCTCCATATGTAATGGTTTTGACGTTTTGACGTGCTAATTTTGAATTTCATTGTCTTTTATGTGTGATTACGGATTAGTCGCCAAAAATATATGGAATGTGGGTCTAATGTTATTGTACGCTGAGTTTATGTTTGTAAAGGGGCCCTGATTATATATGCTACTTTTAGTTATTTTTGCAATGACTAAGATTTTGAAGGTTCACACATTTATTGCTCGTTCGGAGTAGAGTGATACCTTGAATGGAAAGATTCTTAGCTGTTCCAAGTCTTAAAAGTTTTCAATTTAATTCTTTTCCAAATTCTAGTATCATGGTTGTGGACTTTGACATCTTTTTAGTGTTGTTCACTTTTTCTATTGAATAAGCATGAAAGTTGTAGAAAAGGACTAAAAATATACTGGGTAGGCACTTGCATTGGGAAATGCCATGTCATTTTTACATGGTTAGTTTGATTTAATTGCAGAGGAATCTGAAACAGACAGTGAAGAATCAGATGTCAGTGGTTCTGATGGAGATGACACATCTTGGATTTCATGGTTCTGCAATTTGCGAGGAAATGAATTTTTTTGTGAAGTGGATGATGAATATATCCAAGATGATTTTAATCTCTGCGGTTTGAGCAGTCAAGTTCCATATTATGATTATGCACTTGATCTGATTTTGGATGTTGAATCTTCTCATGGTAAGAATTTGTCTATGCTAATGGGGTTTTTACTATGATGTGTGTGAGTGCACGTGTATAAATATTCTTGTTTACATCTCTTAAAAGTAAAGTTAATAACAATTGCATACTATTGGATTGTTAAATTTAGGTCACTATCTTTTAATAAATTTTCCTTGGAGTGAAAGTCTATAAGGCCTCATTTAGGAAGTGCTTTTAAATGACTGAAAGCACTTTTAGAGAAAATGTTTTTGCGTTCCAAAAGAACTTGAAGTGCATTCTGCAAGAAGCACAAGTTACGTGCTTCTTGTGGGAAGCACTTAAAGTGTTTTCCAGGATTAACTTGCATTTTTACTGAGGATTGGTTCCAAAAACATTACTTTCAATCGTTTAAAAGAACTTCGAATCGAGCCCGTAGTGTTTTTGGATATTAATCCATGCTTTGTGCACAAGCATTACTTGGCTGTTGGCACTTTTTGAAATGCTTAGATTTAGGTTTTTTTTTTTTTTTTTTTTTTTTTGTCAATTACTCAACCAATACGTATAAGAAATATGGATAGTACGCTTGAATTATATAAACTGGTTTTGAGACGGGGACCAGGTAATGTGTTACATAAGGTAGTTTGTATATGTAGTTTAGTTTAGTTTATTACAAAGTTACTTGAAAATATATTCCATGAAAAGAAATTGGTGCAGTTCTAGGTTATATGAGTAAAATAGTCTAGTGGATTATAGATGGATATGAAACTTATGAAGTGGTTGGCAATAAAGATGATTTGCGACACCCTATTGGGTCTTCAATTCGTAGTCATGCCCTTGTGTGAGATCTGAGTCAAGGAGCCTTGATATGTTTAGTATGGTTACTGGTAGTGGACATCTTACTGCATATTGGGTGACACCATTTAACTCTGCCTGCAGCAGGACACCGGCTGCCCATTAACATTGATATTTTCTTGATTTGGTTTTGCATATAGCATTAGAGTGAGGAACAGATATTCGTAAATTAGCTTACGGTGTGGGTTTTGAGACTAAAGTTTTATGGGTATGAAATATGAATACTTAATTTTGAAATACCAATGTGGGAGTCTGAGTTCAAAAGTCAAAGCATGCAATTCCTAGATAAAACTGGCTTAGAACTCTAAATAACCTATAAAAAGGATTATATTGGGTTTGAAACTTGGATAGCAGTTAGTAATGTATGATGAAATAAAGTATACCCATGAGTTAATGTACTTCTATCCTCTATATGTCCGTCCGTCTGTCTTAACCTCTGTCTCTCTTTGTCTATCTTCACTGGTTGTGCTCCTTTTACCTCTTTGTCATTGAGGCACCTAATAAATGGGGACCTCTGTACAGGTGACATGTTTACTGAAGAGCAGAATGAGTTGGTTGAATCAGCGGCGGAGATGCTATACGGTCTTATACATGTTCGATACATACTGACTAGCAAAGGAATGTCTGCAATGGTAAGATTCTGACTATTGTGAGTTTTATATTTTGGTTTCTTATTGGATCTTTATTTGTCAGAATATTGATCTTAAAAGTTCTACAGTTGGAGAAATACAAGAACTATGACTTTGGAAGATGCCCAAGAGTTTACTGCTGTGGACAACCCTGCCTTCCAGTTGGTCAATCGGACATTCCTCGTTCAAGCACTGTAAAAATATACTGCCCCAAATGTGAAGATATATATTACCCTCGATCAAAGTACCAAGGCAGTATCCTTAAATGCTTAAATTTTGCGTATGCACTAAAGTTCTTTTCATACTTCTCTCTTTTCAGTTTTAGCTTTTCAATTGTTAGATGAGTTATTATTAATTTTGACGAAAGAAACTCTACCCTTTTTGAACTTTTGTTGCTCAAGTTCAGTGTTCTCTTGTAAATCTCATTTGACAGTCTAATATTATTCTCGGGGTCGTCTACATTTTTAGCAGTTTCATTCTGGTCTTGTGGTTGGCACGAGGCTTAGTGCAACTGCTTGAAAAACTAACTTTAACCGATCAACAATACGTGATACGTCTTCCATTTGCGGACACTTGAATGTCTGTTGGTGGTTATAAATGAGCTATAGTAAACCATTAGTAGGGTCTTATGTACTTCCTGCGACTGATATTATCAGATTTGCATAACTCTGGTTATGAAATCACTTCATTTGTTCTTATCCAGTCTTTTTCTCTCTCTCTCTATCCAGTCTCTTTCTCTCTCTCTCTCTCTCTCTACAGATGCACGGTTATTATTTTAATTTACCATCTTATAGTGTTTGGCTTTCTGATTTTATATCTTGATTTCCTTAACACTTTGAAGATATTGATGGAGCATATTTTGGAACCACATTTCCGCACTTGTTCTTGATGACGTATGGGCACCTTAAGCCACAAAAGGCGTCACAGAGTTATGTGCCAAGAGTTTTTGGTTTCAAACTCCACAAGCCGTAACCACAGTGCAATGGGCAAAACCTGTGATGAGATTTACTATTAACCAGCTTCCTTTCTTATCGTGCTTCATGCCTCCATTGGTAAAGGGAACGTCTGTGACAAGTGAGGTAAGATGCAGTAGCTCAGAAAGTACTACAAGTGATGTACCATCTATTAGCAGAGCAAAGTGGCAAACCTTTCTTTGAATTTTAATCATGAGATTAACGGAGCACTTGTAAGATTATTTAATTTTGTTTACTGAGATTTATGTGATTTGCATTTGCGGCTCGTGTTTATCATTCCTTTTACTGTGATTAATCATGCTCCGGTCTTATGCTACTTGTTCCTGTTTATATATATAATGTGCTACTGTCACGCTTGATGGATGTAATGCCAAGAATCGCACTTAGACACAAGTTTTCCATTTTGTTCATGCAAGGTGTTGTAAGGTTCCTGTAGTTTGGATGTTTTTACAAGTATAATGATGAGTTTGGCTTCTCTAGCTTTTTGGTTTTTACATTTTTGGTGCTTGTAATATTATTTTCAACGAGGTCTCCGCAGTCGTGTTTTGTTTATAATCAAAGACAAATTGAAAATTGTCACTCTGTTAGACGGAAGCGCCATGTAAGGCATGCGTGGAAATTGGCAGGTAAAACAATCATTTTACCGTTGATGTATTGTTCCACGCATGCCCTACGTGAAATTTATGTTTTATAGATAATGAACTTTTCAGTTCTCTTAACGTAAACGAAACCCACCCGCAGATGCCTGACTGGAAAAATGAAGCTTAAGACATTCCCAAGCGGATGCGAACTTTCCTTTGAATTTATCTTAAGACATACTTCCAATTAGTATATCAAAACTTGTTAGTTTGAAAGTGTTGTTTCAATATCTAATGAAATTTATATAACTTCTTTTTAGACTCAACTTACTTAGGCCTCTCATTTGCGCGAGCAGTCTTGAGAATCGATGGCTTGGTGAGCCTCCACTCCCACCCCAGGCATCCGAACCATTCTTTGTGAGCAAAGAAATTGTGCTTGCTGGGTTCATTGACACCCAAAACGAGCCATTCCAAAGGGTTCTTACATAAGGAGATGTGCTTGTTTTCCCAAAGGGTTTGCTTCTTTTTTATCTGACGGCTGGGGACGATTCACCACTGTTTTCTCAGTTTTCAACAGCTAGAATCCAGGGATGGTGGGAATTTCTGATGCCATGTATCAATATGACTTGGATATGATTGACAGGATGACCAAGGGGTTTCTCACTCATCATATTGGAAATCCCACTCTTAACAAGCAGCGATTCAGAAAGTTATATCCTGTTATTTGAAGATAAATGGCTTTGAGTGTATGATCTAGAAGTTAAATGCATAGGAGTGTTTGAAGTGTGGCATTTAGTCTCACGAGTTTGTGGTGTGAGATTTAAAATTATCATATTCTAAGCTATTCTAATTTATGAGGACGGATTCGAACTTCGGAAATGACACACTGTCTTGACCTACAACCCTAATTCATGTCTTCAAAAGTGATTATAAAGAAACTTAATTAAGGAAGTGAAACGACAAACTAACAAAGTCTTAAATAAAATAAAATAAGTAAAAAAGACATAAAAAATGCTTACAAGGGAAGGAACCTGTTGGACTTTATAGAAATCCTCTCCTCCTTCATTAAGCTTATCAAAGAACTGCGTGATGGGATCTGTTGGTAGAATAAACATTGCGTGATGGTAGAGTTTGATTATTGGGTAGAAATTTATTGACAATTTTAGTTTTATTGTTATTTTCATCATGTACTTGATGGTAATTATGTAATAAGGTAAAAATGACAATTCCCATATAAAATTTACGTTCGATATATAGTAATTGTAGGGATTGAAATAAAATTTCTCTTATTTTTATTATGGTTTAACCTTTTGGAACAATCTAACTCGGTGACTAAATTGAAATGGCCAAAAAATGTGGTGTGAATATTATACAAGTGTTCAACTTTGGTTCTCTCTCAGTCTCAACGTGAGAAGAATATAATATCAGATATGGTTGCATTTGACCACCAAAATTCTTTTTACTTTATTTTTTCTTGAAAAAAAAAAACATTCTTACTACTTGATATGCTAATTAAATTGGATTGCAAACAACTTGCTTTTACAACAAAGTTTGTTTTGGTTACGTTGGTTAAAGCTGTGTGTTTCTTCATTTGCTTATAAAATTTAAATTTCTCTTCTCATAGTTTAAATTAATTTAGCACAGACTATTCTTTGGTAGTGTAATGTAATCCCATCTAAGGTTACAATGATTAATACAGATTGTTATTACTATCATATGGTTGGTGGTTACGTTGTGAACATTATATTACACTGTTATTGTAAGTTAATTTACATTGTTAGTGTAAGTTAATAACTTACACTATTAGTGTAATATAATGTACTTGCAGTTAATCGTTCTAATATTTTTTTTTTTATTAAAAGGTACGGTAGACTAACCCTTCTATTAAACAGAAAATTTTCTCTATTTTTATGTTCCATCTAATTAAGAAAATAAAAAGTTTGTCCACAACCAAACAATTTGGCATTCAAACAGAGGAAATAGATTATTGTTGATTTTGTTGTTATGATAGATCATTGTACTTGCAGTTAATTGTATTGGTTTCTTGTCTGAGGCAAATTCCAATGATTGGACAAGTTCAACCCATTAATTTCGACCTTCGTTGTCCAAATTTGGAAAGAAAAAGGATACTGTGGTATGACCCAGAAACATAAAACATATGTACATTTTAAGTTGTGTTTGTGGCTCATGTGAATAACATTTGGTTATTCCTATATATACATGCACACACACACTAATTAGTTGACCAGTGGCTCCGTTTTCGGATTAATGTAGTTTTTGCTGTCTCGCTTAACAAGTGTTGTAGTCGTGCTTTTGCAATAGTTGTACGTGGTCATGCTTTTGCAATAGTTGCATGTGGTCTTTGCTTGTGAGCGATGAGTTTTGTGGTCTAGTCTATCAACGATAATTTTATGTGGTATTGCTCTTTTGTGATAACTTTATGTTGTCTCAACAATGACTAATGTGTGTGCTGGTATAGGTCTGTTGCGTCTACCGTTTGTGACGGAATCTGTACTAGTGCCGATTTGTATGGTTGTGCTCGTGGTTGTCATATAGGAGTTTTACTCAATTTGTGTCTGCAAATTCACTCCCAGATCACTATGAGCAATGTACCCAATTAACACCTTTGTATTAATGAGTGAAATACTATGTCCTTTCTTGTCAAAGAAAAACTATATGTTTAAAAGCTCCGAGATCGTATCTGTAAATTTTCTATATTTGGTTGCTTTCCTTGTCATCTCATGGCAAATTATGGAACAATGTACCCAGTTACTAAATTCATTATTCAGTTAAGAGAACCCTAACCCTAAGCAATCACAAGAGTCGTACATAGCCAAAGGGTCTGAAAGAACAAATGAATATCTTTTTTTTATGATGAAATACTGACAGTCAGGTGTATAAAGAATAAATTAGTATCAAACTCGTCATTTATAATTTTAGAACTAAAAATCTCTTGCAAATAAAAACAAATATCACTGATCCGTACAAAGAAAAGAGTACCAAAAAATAGTTTTTACTTTACACACATGACTCTTCATTGATGATGAAATATTTTGAACCAAAGCTTGAGCCTTTTATAATTGAGCAAAAAGCTACTTCAATCATTTTGAGATTTCATCATTCTTTTTCCATATTTGAGCAAAGGATTCAAAAATACAAAAGAAAAATAACTTGTGGCGATTGGCCTATGGCCAAGTTGTAGATTCATACAATTGTATATTTAATAAATAAATAAAAATAACTGCAGAAATATGTTAAAGTGCCAACCTATGTGTCTGTGTTGTGGCTTATGTGAACAACATTTGGTTATTTCCTTATACAATGATAAGCCGATCAGTGGTTCTGTTCTAGGATTGTTGTAATTTTTGTTGTCTTGCTTGGCGGGTGTTGTGGTCGTGCTTTTGCGATTGTTGTATGTGGTCTTTGTTCGTGAGTGAGGAGTTATGTGGTCTCGTCTATCAATGATAATTCTGTGTGGTCTCGCTCTTCTGTGAGGACTTTCTATCATCTCAACGATGACTGAGTATGTGCCGATATAGGTCTATTACGTCTACTGTTTGTGACGGAATCTATATTGGTTCCAATTGTACTGGTGGTTGTCATATAAGGGTATTATACTCAATTTGTGTGTGTATGCAAATTCACTCCAGATAATTTATGTCACTGAAGCAATGTACCCAATTTGCACCTTAATTTGTAATTGTTTATGTTGATGACTCTATCCTTGTAAAAAAACATTATATATATATATATATATATATATATATATCTTTCAACCAGTTACTAAATTAGGTTGCTTTCCTTTGTCATCTCATGGCAACTTATGGATAGGCCAAGAATCGGAATTAACTCTAAACCAGTTACTAAATTATTGTTCAATTTAGAAAACCCTAACCCTAAGCAATCACAAGAGTCGTGGCCATGGCCAAAAGGTCCGAAAGCTCTTTCAAAAATGAATGTCCTCAGTCTCAGATTGATTCGTTACACGAGTGGTGAAGCAAGTTTTTGTTGAGATCTCGTCCACCAGACATTGAGACACATGAAGCATGGATAGCAGTGTAATCGAGTACACATCCGGTGGTTTCAAGGTCCCTGGCGTGCTAGACCCTCGAATGGTTCCGAAATAAGGCATTTGAGAGTGAGAATTTAAATACTTGTCCTAAGTCGTTAGGATAGTTTTCTTTCACTCACCTGTGTTCACGGTTCAAACCCTTTTTCCTTTTTTTTTTTTATTGTAGATTAGTGTAAAATGTCGCTTGTAATAAGGAAAAAAATAACAATATATAGCAAAGACTTTGACTCCTATTGTAAAGAAAAATAGAAGACTTTGTCTCCTAACTGGCACTACCCCTTGGCTAGCCAGCCTTGTAACTTAGCATCCACGTCTTTCTCATTTTTATTTTGTTCTAACAAACAAGTTTATCTACAATAACAGGAGTGAGGGAGTGGGCTAAACCTTAAGAGGCTTGCAAATAATACGGTTCAAATTCAATTTTTGTGAAAATCGAATAATGTACATAAGAATCACCATGTATATGTAGTAGAAATTATCACACTATTCACAACATTACAAATATATTAGAGTACACATAATATACGAACAACACAACATTACAAATATATTTAATTTGAACGGAAAATAAAATAAATAAGTTGCTAAGACAATTACAAACTGATGACTACATTTTGAATAACAAT